CCATGAACGTTTCAGAGATTGTGTACTCCCCAGCACTGCAACCTTCTGAGTTCAGAGTGTCAGTAGGACTGGCAGCTAACCGAGGTACTCTCCTAATGTCAGTCAAAAGATTGGGAGGTACCAAACCTAAGGCACCAGTAAAAATGGGGAGTCGTACAACTTGGTAACGGAGATGCAAGAGTGACATTTCGTAAGCGAGGTTCGTATATTTGCCATGTTTTCTCGGAATCTTTCAAGCCCAATTGTGTCAAAAGAGACGGATAATGCATCGAAATGAATAATTCCCTTAGCTTGTATAAAAAGACAAGGTCAGGTGTGTTGGCATGGCTACGTCCGAAGCTGTATACCGGCGTATTCCAAAGAATCCTATAATTGTCATTTTCCATGACGCCCTCGACATATTCTGGGTCATACCATGGATGTACAAACACCACAGCATGGCGAAAACAGTAATACAACGCTTACGATACTGTGTTTGTACCAAAATTGAGCATCCAGAGTTGTACAGTATCGTTCATTGAATGTATTTTCTTCTTCTTTCTCCCATTATTGAACGAGATACTATAGTCTGTGTTCTCGGTAGTTTTGTATGAATGTCAGACTCTATCTAAGAGGTACGGGAAGTTGAAAGAAAACTTGAAGATTGTCCTTTCTGACCCAATGAAAAGGTTCCAAATATTGGCTTTCACCTTTATCTTTAAAGATGTGTTTCATGACTACAAATCTTGCACATTAACGGTATCCTGATCAATATTCGTTATATACAATCATGTGAATTAGTCGGCCACATGTAGGTTTACGTATGATGAATAAGTGTACTGTAATTTATTTATGTTCAGCATCCATTTAAAATATTTTAGTACGTTATGAGGATTAAGTCACAGGGGCTTGTAACGCTAAAAACTGCCATCAAGGTATATACTGTCACTGACGGGGTCTTAGTACTATATAAAAGAAAATGGGATGTAACGAGGTGAACACACCAGGTTCGTTTCAGGGCGAATTCAACAATACTCACTGTATTTATGCCATTTCAAGCCAATAGATTTACCTATAAAATAAGACATACAGCACTAAAATCGAAGCAGTACTTTGGGAGCTAGGGTCTTCGGAAGCTCGAAAAATCGTGATTACTATGAAAAACATTGGCAGAGGGGGTACATAAAGTACGTGGTCCAGACTACCATTTTTGTGGACGCCTCGGTGGCTGAGTTGGTCAGATCGCAGACTGTGTCCCTAATGGGACTCAACCCAAACAGGTACTAGAATCTGTACTTTACTAAGAAAGTGTAATCCTAAATAACTTGTATATTTAATTTTTGTTCCACTGTTCATGGAAAAACGGTATTGTTGTCCGATATGTTCAGGAGAACCTAAAAAACCGTGTTGCCCACATTCCGTAAACAAGCTACGCGGATTTACAAAGAGCACGCCGGTTTTTACGCACATGCTATCAAAGACCTCAACAATGGATTGAAGTTAGTTCTTCAATGTATGTTCAAAGAATGTTACATGAACCATGTCTTCTGACTGACTCTTGCTGGTGATTGTATTCCTATATTTAGGATGCTTGTGTTGAATATATTATTTTTTTCAGATGTATTGGAATTTATTGCTCCAGATATTGATGTGTTGTGAACACAATTAAACAAATGAAGTACAACTTTAAACTTATCACCTGTCTAGTGTGGTGTCGTGCCCTTTCCAAACAGAAGGGTCACGTGTCTTCAGTGATACCAACAGTTCATTAACAATAGGAAACTTAAGCTCAGAAATCATATTACTTGAATAATAAGCGTACATATCATCTTAGATTAGGGATTCTGATTATCAGATACAAATGAACAAATATATTAGAGGGACAACATAAAATAACGAAGAAATGAGTATGTAGGGTATACAAATTAATTACTACCCCAAGCAATAGTGACTTTGTATCTATACTCAAATAACTTAGTGAAGTACCCCTGACATATCTCACGATTGAATGAGCCCCGATCTTATCCCTTTGGAGCATATCTGGGACATGATTGGTCGTCGTGTGCAACAAAGGGCCGGATGTACAGAACCTGGCCCAATTTGGAAGCTGCTTTACACGAGGAATGGTGTAGACTGCTCCTTCAGAGGATCAGGAGGCTGACAGGGGGTATGAGGAGGAGAGTGCTGGCTGTCATACAGTCACATGGAGGTTACACTCGATATTGACCTTGAATCGTGTAAGACACGCAAAATGACATTTTGAATGTTTACATTCACCAATATATTCACCATTAAACATTCCAGGGGCATACTTGTATAGACATGGTTTGGTATGAAAATCAGTGTTTTATAAAATGAGCAATTATCATAATAAAATCAACATAGATTCCAATCATTTGTCCTTTTTATTAGTCAAAGGATCATACGGGTCAGAAATACTAATGTTTTTGCATCGTGGTCACCACGAGAAGTTTTATGTACGTGTTGAAAACCTGTCATTGCACAAGTACAGGGGTGTTTAATCAAGTTCTTTGTGTAGACATTAATTAGCATGCTTATATTATCAACTTTATCCGATATATGAGACCTCAAGATAAATATGTAACTATCCTTCAACTCCTGCTTGGACTATACCAACAAAGCAGTATATATTTTATAATCATGCCATGGAAATGTTTCAAAGTCATTACAAAATCATACGCCGTGTGGGCTTCCATGTGAGAGGGTATTATTTAATTGGGGGATAGGATGGATACATATACACACGGGCGGTGAGACTGTCACAAGCCGGGTCCAGGCCTGATTATTTACCGACTGTTGGACGAGAAAATGGCATACACTCACTCACTTGGCACATTAACTGAAAAGGCTGTGTTGTAAGACAATTTCAGTATTTAAATAATTAGACAATATGATGAGAATGACAAGTTTACAGTGCTGAATGGTGTCAGATTGTAAAAAACAGTTATGATGAAAATGAAAAGTGTTTCACTGCATCTTAGTTGCAACTGGTATTCAACAATTACGTAGCTAGGTATATCTGTGAAAAGTTTGAATCTAGTAAAATATACACTTCTACAAAAACAATGTCTCTGTTTTAGGCTATTGAACTTCTGTGAGTGGGTATTTGGAATACGTTTTCTAGGTTTATGACAAGACTAGTACAGTTATAACGGTCATCGTAGCTTATATGGAATTTTGTTTACCATGTATGATAGTTCTCCATACAATTAAATGGGTCAATAAAGTTCCTCGTTTGAAGCATCGTATCACCAGTGTTAAGCATACCAGTATGATCCAGTATGAAAAAACCCCCGAAACTGTCTTTTAACGACCGTGGACAGTGTCCTTATGGACAGAGCAATTAGATCCTGATCGCGGGTATGTCTCTTATACATGAAAGCTACTGATTGCTGGGTTGACAGAGATAAGGGGTCTAAAGTAGATAAGGCGAAATGTGTCACCTTCCTCTAATCCTCGACACAGTTAACATTCTTTAGTCTGAGTAGTGCAACCTCTCTGAGCCACCCCCCCTTCAAACGTCAAGTTATATAAAACAGTTAATATACTGAACAAAACAAGAAACTCCACACTTGGAGAAATGAATCGTGGATAGCACAAGGTGGTTATTATGGGCGAATACCATAATGGCCAGGTCTTACCTGACACATCCTCTCATTTCAACTGCAGCATACTCATTTATGAAAACGCGACAATGCACTTATCACATGACCACAAGTTCGTGAGCCTAACTACCAACACGTGGCTGACTATTTTACACTTGCAATGACATGAAGTAGACGGACAATTCACAAACCCGAGAACATGTGTGCACCAATTAGGTACGACATCTGATCGCCCCGGGACAGTACATCCTTCTGTTGGGCCGATTCGGACATACATAATCCGTAATGAACGTCTAAACTGGGCACATTGGACGTTATGGAGTGGCCATCGAGGGCGATGACCTGACCTTAATGCTCATCGAAGACGACTTCGTGCCTTGAGACTTCAACCCCAGAATGTTCAAGAGCTATACGCCATGTTGGTAGAGCAATGGCGCGGGTTGCCTAATGCTGTGTTTACGGGTGTCAATGAGACAACGTTGCCTTGACGTTGTGAATGCGAGAGGGGAGCATGTTCCAAATGCAGATGACTTGTCCTTGTGAAATAAAAAAGTGACCCATTCTTGCTACTGTTGACTATGGAGGGAGCACCATGCGCACCTTAATGCCTAATGTTGTTTTAGTGTACACTCATTACGTCCAAAAACTATATTTATCCACTAGCAACACACTTTGTTCTATATGTTTAAGACATAAAGTAACACATGTAAAGTTTCTTTTTTTGTTCAGTACATATTTAGCAGATCCGTATTTACAGGAATAAGCAAGTGAAACCGTGTCAGCCTTTTTCCGTATAGAGTCAGACGAGAACACTGCTCTTGAAATACAGCGTGTAATTCGAGTATGCCTGTAAGTATAATCACATTTGTTAATATTCCATGTACCTCATCCATATGTAGTAAATGAAGTATCCACCAACCGTGTTAAAGCTATTTTGTTGTTTACACAGCTGGTAAAACACATATGTTGCATTTTAGAATATCCAGAATGGAAACACGGCCGTACCTGCAACTGCCTCTATTATGTCTGATAGTTCTGGTCAGTGGAAGGACAGGTACGTTGGTTGCCAGGTAATATGACGACTTCACAATCCCATCGTGTTAAAATATATTTACTCGTATAAAATATATATTATTTCACATACGCCTTTAGTTAGGGTATATGATTGACTTATTGATATTATTTTGTCATGGAAAGCATAGCTTTTCACATTTGTCACTTTTCATAAAAAATCTAGTACATTTGAAGTCCTGCATGTTTTTCAGACTCACCAATCACTAAGCCCCCGTGCCAACGATCTCGATGCAAAGGGGGCATTTGTGTCAAGGGTATATGCTCCCAGGGGTGCAAAGATGGGTATTATGGCCGGAGCTGTGGGTATAGATGTAGCAGAGGATGCGTCAGCAACAGATGTTCCGACTCTGGATTCGGTACAGGAAACTGTACTGATGGCTGTATCTCAGGATACTGGGGAAGTACATGCAGTTTCGAATGCCCTGTTGATTGTCTACAGTGTTTAGATAATACATGCACAAAATGTAGAGCGTTTTTTTACGGATCATCTTGTGGTTCCAACTGCAGAGAAACATGTCCCACTGAAGGTTGCCATATGGATGGTACTTGCAGAGATGATCATCAATCAGTTGCCTGCGCTAATGGAAACTTTGGGCCGAAATGCCAGTTTGGCTGCAACGAGAACTGTGCCTTTCGTGCTTGTAATCGTTCCTCTGGTGTCTGTCTGCACGGGTGTGAAAAAGGCCACTTTGGATCAAGATGTGAATTCCGATGTACCACTAACTGTAAAGGAGCACTGTGTGATGCCCAAGGCAGGTGTCTAGCTGGCTGTACATCGGGCTACTATGGGCAAGACTGTGATGAGCAGTGCAGTGACGAATGTCGTCAACGTGTATGTGATCTGAAAACAGGTTACTGTATCAACGGCTGCAACGATGGACACTACGGCTTTCTCTGCAACAGGTCGTGTGTAGGGGATTGTTCTGTCTGTAACCGGGAGAACGGACTATGCCTCGTAGATGAAGTACAACCAGGTTAGTGTTTAAACTTAATAATGCCATTTCCCATTGTGCAGGTGACCAGGTTTGTATATTACCTTTAATGTTACAGCAGTGTTTGCACGTACCATACGGTATATTTGGGATTACACTTTCTCAGTGAAGTACAGATTCTAGTACTTTTTGTACTTTTGGGCGGGGCGGGTTTGGTCCCATCCGGGATTCGAATCCACACTCGTAGTCAGGCACCTTATCGTCATCACACAAAGTCAGCGATTCAACCCTCTGGGAAAGTACTGGGTACGTAGCGTTACAACTGCTGTGTGAAACAGGGAAGTGGGCCCCGATCCACCATGCGTTCATAGCGTTATATTACTACAGTGGAAAATATATCTATAACAAATGTATGGTTAGCACAAGTTTACAAACGCCACGAAGCTTGTAGAACAGCTATCTGTCCCCAGTAACTCGTACCAAAGCAAGCAAGTAAACAATTCAGTAGACAATTTCCGTTCATGTGTAATGTTAGCTCACTGGACTACAGCTTACCTCTTGTAAACTATACTCATTTCTCCAGCTGAATATCGGGCGGTGGGTAGCCTAGTGGTTAAAGCGTTCGCTCGTCACGCCGAAGACCCGGGTTCGATTCCCCACATGGGTACAATGTGTGAAGCCCATCTCTGGTGTCCCCCGCCGTGATATGGCTGGAATATTGTTAAAAAAGCGGCGTAAACTGAACTCAATCAATCATTTGAATATCGAATTTGTATTATTTTGTACAGGAGGCACGTTGGTATACTGTATATTTGTTGACGTTTTTAAGAAGTAAGACTAATTCTAACGGTGTGTGTGTGTGTATTATTGTGTGTGTATTGTAAAACATTCTCAACCTGAGATAAGTTCTGTAAAATGATCAGGTGAAAGATTCTTCGGTGATTCCATTAACACCTATTATTTTTGTTGGAGTGGATTGTATGATTTGGGAATCGTGTGTTCAGGCAGTATGCACAACCGCCCTCCTGTAAATCAGCTAGGAGGGTACGTAAGTCCAGCTAGGGTCCATGTCTTTAATTAAAGGTAGCAAAAGTAATGTCGTCGAAGACCCGGGTTCGTCCCCATGGTTCCTAATATGTTAAAGATCTATAGCGCCGTGTTTTATATTTGTATTGTCAGTCTTTAATTAAAATATTTTAGTTTCATATGCTAGTTTTATGTTCATATATGTGATACTCTAGTGCTTTTTACCGTCCATTATGGACAGGTTTTACTCTTAAAAATATTTTCATTATTTATTGTATAAATTGTTTTAGTCACGATATGGCTGGAGATATTGCCGATGTGATGTTAAATATTAACTCACTTACTCACCCAGGCAGTGTGACTTGGCTCCAGTAAAGCGTCTTACCCAGGTGGTAGTGATCCTAGCTTATAAGATCAGTCACTGGTTTGCCTGTACCATATTCGATTATTTACAGGACGATATGTTCTACTTGGAATAATTTTGCCTGACGAATTAAACAATACGTATAAGGAATCGTGTTTCTGTTTTTAGAACCGACGCTGGATACAAAGGACGGGGACGTCCAGATGACACCGTCAGTGAACTATGTCATAGGATTTGTGGTGTTGCTGCTGGTTTCTGGAACAGCAGCTTTCCTCATTAGAAGGTACCTCAAATTGGACTGTTTTTGTGCCGATATCTGTACATTATAAAACATCAAATATCGTGTTTTTTTATGATACTATTTGTTTCTTCCTGGTCAGAACTCATGTGATGTTTCTGTATAATTTCAGGTCATGTACGTCATCGTCCATCAGGACCAACAGGTTCTTGCTAAGTCTCCAAGGCTGACAACTGCCAGACGTACCGATGTCTGCAAATGCTTATGACGACATCAACGAAGATGACATGGATGAAAGTGATGGGGTCGTTGCAAGCAGCAGCAACAACACGTGCAGAATACGCGGTCAACCTCCACCTTCCCCAGTTGCTATGTGTCACACAGCACGGCCAAGAGAGCACAAGACTGGACATTTGCATATCTTCAAAACATCCCTACAGAGGGCTAACTCCTTGCCAATATTTGACTGGAAGTGGAACGAGTCGGAGGGCTCATGGACGGATCATACTGGATTTCAGGCGCGACGTGGGAATCAAGGAGAAGACCGAACTCTTATGGAAGAAGCTTGTTGCCTGGTGGATAATGTGGCGTATGAAAGTAGAGCTGCATGTAGTTCAACAACCTCGCGTGGATACCTGTCTCCTGTAGCCAGTGATCCATGTCTTGATTACACTGACTTTTAGCGACATATATAGCTGGCCGTAAACGTCAAGCATTCAATCGTTTATAGGAATAACTCGATTACATTAATAATTTTATTATGGTCAGATAAATTCAAATTGTTTTGTATAATTCAAAATTTGCATGTGTAGTTCTACTTTGTATGAAAGATATTTCCCAAACCTTGAAACGTCTTCAAAGTTGAGAAAGTTGTATTGGAAAGCCTAGCCTGGTGCATATATGTGTACCTTCTGAAGGAATCATACTGACAGTAGGGTATAAGAGACTGTCATAGCGACATGATTAGAACAAACCTTGTCTGAACGAACATTTAATTCCCAAGGTTAATTATTTAAATAATAAAAATATCCCAATAGCCATGACATATACTAGTTCACGTCTATAATGCCAAAATTGCCATGACTTATAAGAATCTAGTCCTGACATTAACATTCTGTAAATTAAAAAAATGAAGATGGTCTTACCCTCAGTTTTGTGTTAGCTACGTGCCCGTGGGGCACCAACGCCGCCACTTCTGTCACTGTGTGCGGTCCTGACACATAGTGATTCTTGTATGTTCATATTGGACCCGTGAAGATGTGGGTTAGAATGAATCTTCAGTAACCCATGTTTGTCGTAAGAGGCGACTAATGGGATCAGGTAGTCAGACTCGCTGACTTGGTTGACACATGTCCTTGTATCCCAATTGCGTAGATCGATGCTCATGCTGTTGATCACTGGGATGTCTGTCTGGTCCAGACTCGATTATTTTACAGACCGACGCCATATAGCTGGAATATTGCTGAATCCGATGTAAAGCTCGCTCGCTCACTCACTCACCCACCCACTCACCTTGCATGGTGCAAGAACCACAACTCGCCCATTCCCACTGCACACGCACACTTCATGTGATACAAATGCTAAAACAGTCCACTGGGTCATTCAAATCGAAAATGGTGATTAACGGGACAACATGCAGTCATAAATTCGCACACACTCTCTCTCACTCTCTCTCTCTCTTTCTTTCTCTCTCTCTCACTCTCTCGCTCTCTCTCTCTCTCTCTCTCTCACACACACACACACACACACACACACCTGTTGGAGCCTTTGTTCCAAATTGTACATTTTTCTTGCATTCATCTCTTTTACTTTGAATTGTTGCGTGGCTTTAGCTGAATGTTTATCTGTGGTATTTTGCCCCAGTTTATAGCATTTATTGACGGCTCGTATTGCTGTAGAGTTGTGTCTCTTTGTAGATAGTCATTGGATATAAATAAATGATGTAATCGCCGGATGGACGTGGTTTTATATGTCTCAATACTGAGAGACTTGTTTTTTGTCTTGTCCTTGTTTAAAGATGTTCACATACTTCAACTCCATATTGAGAGCCACTTAATCTTCACATCCACTAACACGTGCAAAGGCAAGCCGTTCACTGGAAAAGACAAAACATATGGTCAAAATAGTGAATTGCATTAAGAAATATTTTGGTTATTTTGGATGAAATTGGCAAATAGCCGCCACATTCTTCCACAAAACGTTTGAAATAATTGTGTTTAGAATTACAAACTTACGTCTTTTGTATCATAAGAGCACGAAAAACAGATTCTGATAATAAAATGACCATTTCCACAATAAGTGATGAAAACAAATTCCATTCCATGATTTTGACGAAATACTTGGTCAAATACATTATGAATCACTTTTAAGCTGCCATGCTACAAGAGGTAAGCATATATATTTCTTCTCAGTGAAACCGTCTCTAACATATGAAAAGGCAAGTCAATTGTTTGGTTACTTAGGCATCAAACTGGAAACGTCCCGCACATTTTGTGTTCCATAAGACGTCAAACTGGCAAGCTTTACCGAGGCCTTGTATGTCTCATTGTAATCTTCATTGAGTAAACCTTTCAGCATGAGTCGTATGGGGCTTATTGGATTCTTCTTAGAAATAGCATGCTCGATTGTACCTGTAAAGTTGTGAAATAGAAATCAAAGAGTGTTACTGTTGAAATATTGCTCGACACATGTGAAGGTTCATTCGCAGAAATACCAGAAATACCACCGAGATACAGACTGTAACAGACAATTTACTATGAAGATAGACTTGTGTAACGAAATGATGATCAACAGCTAGCCTTATGGGAAACTTAGAAGGATTAGATAGATGGCCGCAAAACAAAATTCACTATCAGCACCTCGCTACCCCGGGCGTCTTGTTTGTACATAAATTTTCAACCTCAAATTTCAGAATCTGTCCAACAACCTTGGCACCTTGAAACAGCATGTGGAATTCCTTGCTTTCATCATATTATTATCATCATATTATTGTGAACATTCATCATATACACTGACGAGTTGTCGATTACTTCCCGGTACATGCCAAGGGCAGATAACTTGTAGGTTACCTGAATGTTAGACGTGAAGCAATGCACACAGCATATGTCCATAAACTTGTCTTTGCTTGAACATAACTCTTCATTATCACGACAATTTCAATACACTTGGTTTGTGTTTATCTCTTTCTGCATGGGAATGATTTCATGACACGTATTACCCTTGCTATCGCGTGTGAATATGTTGTGTTGACAATATGCAATGAAGGCCTCTGGTTCCAGATTTCTACACTCACTGTTACAGTACAACACCATCCTGCATTCAGCAACACAGAACACGAATCTAAACATTATACGCATGTAGAACCTTGTAACGCTCAGTAGGCTTAATGCACTAAAATCATGTATTGGCGGAGCTTCTCTGATGTCAGCCTGTTATACAACGACTGCCGATATATGTCAATATTTTGCCCTCACTGCGCGTCGGGGCTGGTTGCATAATCTGGGGGTGACACTACTGACTGACTACTGGCACTATATAAAGAATATTGAAGGTAATATGCGTAGATCTAAAATGACGTGCATTTGTGTTAACTAGTAATATTTGTTGTGCTTGTACGTATTTGCACAATGTTTACTGTTGTTGATGTTGTTATTGTTTAGGAGTGTAATGTTTAATGATGATATTTTCTTGTCTCAAAGTGCAATCATGCTTAATGATGATGTTTTCTTGTTTAAAAGTGCAATCGTGCTTAATGGTGATCTTTTCTTATTTAAAGTGCAATCGTGCTTAATGATGACGTTTTCTTGTTTAAAAGTACAATCGTGCTTAATGGTGATCTTTTCTTATTTAAAAAGTGCAATCGTGCTTAATGATGATGTTTTCTTGTTTAAAAGTGCAATCGTGCTTAATGATGATGCGTTCTTGTTTCCAAAGTACAATCATGCTTAATGATGATGTTGTCTTGTTTCAGTGGGCGATGGAATAATCCTGGTCTTAAGAGCCAGGTTTGACATGGTCGCAATGTGTAAAGCTCATTTCTGGGGTACTTCGCCGTGATATACCTAGAATGTTGCTGAAATTGGCGTGAAAGCATACCCACGTTCTCTTAGTTGAGCTACTACTCTCAACCCGGAAATATAGTCATCGGAGGAAGACTTCGCCAGCAGCTTGAGGAACGCTGGGTATCTGTGAGTTGAGAAAATGATCTGTTTATCGTGGACAGTAAAACTTCACACAATTTGTTCTTGTTTCAAGCATATGATATATGATTTGCATTAGAGTAAGCATATAAGTATATAAGTGATGGAGCATGTATCTCCTGGAAACCTGTTTATTTAATTACAGATTCTATGATAACGTCATGTCCTTTTGTTTTATGCAGAACCAACTCAAACAAGATCTGCAAGACCGGAATAAGGCACATACCTGTGTGTGTTGTACATGTCTCAATAGAGAGATCAAGCGGCCAACCACTGCTACCAGTACTGCGCTTAATAGGTTAACACTTCGAGTTGTTGTGACGTCTGTCAACACGACACTGTAACGCGGTATGTTACGGTGTTACCCCTGTAATTCCCCATGTGCAAGGTTAGTGTTTCTCCCTGACTGGTGGAGGTCTCAGGGTACGATAAATAAAACTGTTATTGTTTGGGAATGTCAAGGTAACCTATTTCATTGGCATGTGTACCTGTCTTGGCCACGCACGTGTTATTACTTGGAATATACACTGAGCCTTATTTCTTTTTCATTGTCTTATGCATCACCTGAATCAATGGAAACACTGATTCCTTTTGGCATCTACTTCGCTGACATTTATCATTTCAGAGTACACTCTCCACTGTGTTGCTGATTCAGCTTGTCTGCTGTAAGTGTATCATAGCTTTGACGGGGAGCTGATCCAACAACTACTTCAGGGACGTTGTTTACATACTGGGAAAAATCTGTATCCTCGAGTTTTACAAAACAAATAATTTGTCGGCTGCTTGTGCTGGATGTCCGGTAAACATACTCATTCGTCTCCTTTCGTATCTTTAACCAAATACCCTTTCGGAATGTTCAGTCGTAGGTCCTTAAGTCGATTCTCAAAGGTTAGAGTTGTTTAGCAATTGAATTGAGTCTGTGCTGTTTGAATGTTTACACATTTAGTTGAAGATGTTCTTTCATCTGATACTTCCAGAGCGGAACCAGTGCGAAGGTCTGCAATGAATCAAGGTGTACTTTGTGTAAAAGT